CAGGAGTAACCTCTGAGCACCGCTGGGTGTGACCCAAAAAGAAAAAAAAATAGAACGTATTATGGAGTTAATATTATCTGTAAGGGAACTTCCTAAATTGTGTATCCCCATAAGAAATAAGACATTGGCTGCATATCTCTGAAAAGAGCAAATTCTATCTTTCTACATGTAAAAGGAAGGTACTATTAAAGATAAAGTTAATCACAGTACAACTTAAACTTTGTTTTCAAATCTGGCATTTAAACATTAAAAATTAAAATATAAACATATATAAGGATTATATATGGTAGATACAGGATATATGTATAATTCTATACAGATTTAGATATAGGATTATAAAATTAAGGATTATATATAACTAAGGGTCATATATAAGAAGTTCTCAGCCAGACACTGCTGTCCTATTTGCTGGTTCTAAGCTCAGGACCGTAGTGAAATGCCTGGGCTGGTGGTACTTCTGGTGATGCCGGGGGATGGGGTGACATGGTGCTGGCAATGGAACTCAAGGAACTAAATAGAACTCAAAGCATGTGCTCTGCACTATTTAAGATTTTAATCACTTAAAAGAGTTATTCAAACACCAACTTTTAAAACTTGAATAGCACATAACATAACAACAACAAAAAAATCTGTCATTAGTTGGTGGTGACAGTAAGGAAAGTGGGGTAAATGTGGCTATATGACAAATTTTTGGTTTTGTGGCGACCCCCTACTGTGCTCAAGGCTTACTCCTGGCTCAGTGTTCAGGGATCACTCTTGGCAGGGATTGGGGGAACTGTATGTGCTGCTGAAATTGAATCTGGGTCAACTGTGTGCAAGCTGTGCGCCTACTTCCCTGAGCTAGCTCTCCAGTCTCATGTATATGATATATTAATGAACATCTCGGCACAGCAGTAGGGTGTTTGCCTTGCACACTGCCAGCCCAGCCAAGCCGGGTTCAATTCCTTCGCTCCCCTCAGAGAGCCCGGCAAGCTACTGAGAGTATTTGCCAGCACGGCACAGTCTGGCAAGCTACCCGTGACGTATTTGATATGCCAAACACAGTAACAACAAAGTCTCACGATGGAGATGTTGGGCCTGCTCGAGAAAATCGATGAACAACGGGAGGAGAGTGACAGTGACAACTCAAACTCTAAAATTCAGGTCAGTCTACATAGGAAAACTAGTTTCAAATGCAATAACCTGTTTTGAAATTCTCTGGCAAAGCCTACCTGGTGAGGAGGTGATGAGTCATGGAGAAGTCGCCACACTTGGACAAAATCCCAGTAGGGTTTTGTCCTGAAGAGTCTGAAGCTCCTGCTAGGATCCCCCATTGACAGGCAGCAACAGAGCAAAGCCGTTCCACAGCTCCAGCCTTTGCGCATAGAACCTTAATTTTGTTTATCTCCTCCCTGCTGTTTTTCAACAAGACTAGGTCCTTGTCCAGATTCTGAGGGTGACTACTGATGAATCAACCACACCTGGTCCTTTCACACTCCTTGCCCTGTGGCTGGTTTGGACACAGGCATGAGGAGCAATTCTGGCCCAGTGAGATGGCTGGATGCTTCTAGGAAGATCTTCATATCATAAGAATTAGAGAGTAGATGCAAATCCTTCGATTCCTATGGTGTGTAGGTCAGGGAAGGGTGGTCCCTAAAGAGAAGTGAAGATTATGTGACAGTGAAAGGAAAAGGGGATGCTGGGCACAGACTAGAGACATGCAGGCATCCACTTTCAGGAACTGGATCATCAAGGATTACCCTGGTTGCAGTTAGGCCAAGGGCACACTGCATTTATGTGTAGGTGAAATGAGCAACACATGGTCTGTGTATTGCTTTTACTTTGGGACAGAAGGGCCCTGTCTATACCACACATAGGTCTGGGGCACAAACTCAAGACCAGTTCTGTCCTAACACATTTGTTGAACAACCTACCACTACACAACCATTTCCGTAACTATATTATTTCCATATATCTTGGGAAAATACAAAGATAGAAAGCATCTCCCTGGTATCATAGCTGACAACGTGCTTGATTACTATGCCTTCCATTGCAACTACATTTCCTACTTGAAGACATTTGGTACCAGTGTTTGCATTAACTTGCACTGGAGGAGAAAGTTAAAAATAGAATTTCTCCATACGTGGGAACGCAATTTAAAGAAGGCAGAGAGGTCTCTGTAAGCGGATCACAGAAGTGATTACAAACTCTGGAAATAATCACCCATCTTTTTGGAAACAGTACAACATTGAGGCAATTAGTGTACTTTTTTTCTCCTGTAAAAGCTGCTCAATGAAACATTTCGCTTTCCTACTTAAAACTGTTCGAATGCTTATAAATCGTTTCTCACAAGGGCCATGATTTTCCAAGATATCAGAATTGCTGTTTAGTGTTAGTTCTCTCATCTCGAGCAAAATTATACTATTTTGCTTGGGGGCCACACTCAGCAGTGCTCAGGGGTTACTCCTAGCTCTGCACTCAGGAATCACTGCAGGTGGTCTCTAGGTCAGACCATACAGGATGCTGGGGATCGAGCCTGGGTTGACCACATGCAAGACAAGTGCCCTACCCACTGCACAATATTTCTCTGGTCCCTTTAGTAAAATCATTTTATACTTCATTTAATCCACATGTACAGTGAAATGTGTCCAGTAAATGTCACGCATAGATTATTTACCATTGTTTATATTTGGAAATCACGTCTGTGGTGCTTAGGGAAACATGAGGTTCCAGGAATCAAACCCTGGCATCTTGCATGCAAAGCATGCACTACAGCCCTGAACTTCTGCCCCAGTTCTAAATATAGGAATTACTTAATGGAATAATTTTTCTATCTTTTTTTCAAAAAGAACTGAAGAAGTAATATGAATGAAATAAATGACTAAATGTAAAAAATAAATTGAAGTTCCAGTTGCAAGTAATATGATGGGCATATAGTGACCAGCATGCTGACTCTAGCTATTAATACTGCATTGCATATTTGAAGGTCATTAGGCGAGTAGATCTTGGCAAAACTTAAATAAGATGAAGTATACAGTAACGGTAAGAGTTGTTTCGAAGGAAATAACCATTCTTTTTTTTTTTTTTGGCTTTTTGGGTCACACCCCGTAATGCTCAGGGAGTTACTCCTGGCTCTGCACTCAGGAATTTCTCCTGATGGTGCTGGGGGAACCACAGGGAATGAATGCTGGGGATCAAACCTGGGTCAGCTGTGTGCAAGGCAAACATCCTACCTGCTGTACTATCACTCAGGCCCTAACAATCCATTCTTGATCAATTTGTTTTCCTATTCAAAATGATTGGTCTCAACAGCAGAAAAATATGATGCATTCATCAAGGAGCTGTAGAGAGTGTATAAAAGATAAACGTGTAAGAGTGTATAATAGGTAAGAAACTTACCTTACATGCAGCTGACCCCAGTTCAAAGACCTGGCACCACAAATGAGAAATATTTCAATTTTTTTAAAAAAGGGAGTGGTGGGGGTGGTTTGAGCAATAGTACAGCAAGTAGGGTGCTTGCCTTGCACAGCTGACCTAGGTTCAATTCCTGACACCATACAGAGTCCCCCAACCCCTTCCAGGAGTAATTCCTGAACACAAAGGCAAGAGTAATCCCTGAGCACTGCCAGATGTGGCCCAAAAAACAAACACAAAGAAACACTTCTTTCTGGGCTCTGCAATGGAATGGATTGGACACATCAGACTGCAAGGCTGGCATTGGTGGCATCTTAAGACTGAGCTCCTTTGGTGTGGGGCAGTGATCCCCCCATACCCTGCACCAGGAGTACGTCCTGAATACTGCCAGGGGTGATCCCCAAACAAAACAGATCTAAACCTCTGGAAGTAAAAGAATCTGATAAACTCCCAGAAGATCTACTGGGAAAGCCAATTACCTCTGACAACCTGTTTGTTTCTCTACTCAAGTATCAAATTCCCATGAACTTGGATCTGCCCCTAATCATCAGTCATGGTAATGACAGGGTCAACCACAGACTGGGGGAGCCAAGGAGATAATACAGGAGTTAAGGCACTTGCCTTGCAGATGGCTGACCCTGGCTCAAATCCTCTGATACCACACATGGTTCCTGGAGTACTGTCAGGAGTGATCCCTGAGCAAAGAGCTAGGAATAAGGTTAGATGTGGCCCAGACACCCACCTTTCCCAACCCTGCTAAAAACAACCCCAAAAACCAGGACAGGGACTGGAGAGATAGTACAGGGCTTAAGGTGCTTGCCTTACATGTGGCTGACCTTATTCAATCCCTGATTATCACATATTATCCCCTCAATAAAGCCTACTCGGATTGGGACTGGGCCTTCTCTACCCAGACCGCCCATCTTCCAGTAAGTAGGCGTCACACCCACCAGCTGCTGACAGCGCCAGGTTGGTCCCATCAACGGCCAAGATGCAGAGACTATAAAACCCAGCTCCTGGAAGTGCGCGGCCGCATTTGCGGCCGGGCGACATCTTATTATCTTTCCTTTGGAGAACCTGGCAGGCTACAAAAAGTATCCTGCCCGCATGGCAGAGTCTGGCAAACTTCCCGTGTTGTGCTCAATATGCCAAATACCAGTAACAATGATGGGTCTCATCCTCCTAATCCTGAAAGAGCATTGAAATGGCTCTTTTAAAATCTTAGGGCTAGGTAGAAGGAGACGTTACTGGTGCCTGCTCGAGACAATCGACGAACAACAGGATGATCGTGATCGTGATCCCCTCAACATCACTAAGTTTAGCCCTGGAGGCCCCTGAGCACCGTTGGCATTTTCCAGGAGAATTCCTGGCACCGTAGGGCCTCTCAGGTCCTCATAGTGAATCCCTGCCTGGTTGGCCAAGAATCCCTGGGAGGCTGCCCATCCAAAAAAAAAAAAAGCAGCACAGATCCCACCACTGGTGCCAGGGAACTGCTAACCAGGCAGCCAGCCCAGAAGAAGTTTACTCTAACTCCTATGTCTGTGAGATTCTATTTTGCGAGTGAAGAAAGACAAAGTTCAAGGGAAAAAAGGCACAAAAGACAGAGCAATAATGAAACAACTTTAATCAATTTAACCACCAACAGAAGTACAATGACATGAAAAGTCCCATATTTTACAACTGTTTATCATTATCTTTACTTGTAAGGTGTTGAAGGTGGGACCCACTCGTGAATCTTCTTTTTAGTGGTGGAATAAGGTACATATTGTTCTGGAGTGCCACTCACATTGAATTTATGGTTTGTCCAGATGAATTTGCGAGCAACTGGTGGTTTTACTGTTGGAGGTTCATCAGTCATACAGTGAAGCCAACGGTGCCTTAAGAGGAGGGAAAAAAAATAACCATTATAAAGAGAAAATGCAGCATTGCAGAGGGTAAAGAGGCTAGTTCTGGAGCAGTTTTGTGGATTGAGCTGAAAGTCAGCCATGTAACTTATGAGCTGTACTTTCCTATACTGCAGCTTTTTCATCTTATTTCCTAAGCATACTATAAGGAATAAATGAGATAATATACCCAGAGCACCTAGAGATATCCCCGTGCATAGCATATACTCAACGAATGTCAGCAACAGTATTATCCTCCTCATATTTCATTAAACCTGAACAATGGGACTGATAGTACTGTATTTGCTGTACTCTTTCTTCAGCAGCATTTCACCGACCAGGGTTCAGTACCCAGCAGACCATATGATCTCCCAAGCACTGCCAGGAGTAAACCCTGAGCACTGCTGGGTGTGGCACAACATCGAGGACAGATTTACATTATACACTAATGGCTCCCATATCACGTGGAAAGAAAAGTGCTGTTGATTAATTAATCACGGCACTACTGATTACAGCACATACTCTAATTGTAAATGTGAAAACATATGAATGCTGAAGACTAGTCTTACTCCCACATGTCTGCGGCTGAATTCCCCTGCTCTGGCCCATGAAGCTCTAGCTTGAAAACCAACAAGGGGCTTGCTGAAGAAGATCATCTGTGCAGGCCCAAGAGATATGACAGGGGTGTAGGCAGGTGCTTTGCTCACTCCTCAGCATGGCATATGGTCACTCAAGCACTGCTAGAAGTGATCCCTGAGCACAAAGCCAGGAGTAAGTCCCGAGCACTGCCAGGTGTGGTGCAAACAAAAAAAGCATCTCTGCGTGCAAGCTGAGCGTCAACTGAGGTCTCATTTCTGGATAACATTAAGTTATTCAATTACAGGGTGGATGAATCAGGTAAAGGAAGAGAAATGTTAACTGAAGAACAGAATTGGACTTTTAATGGTGAAATTCATGCATATGCACATGATGGCATTTATGAAGGTGGGGGAGGAAGGGGGGAAGATGGTGCTCTGGGCTTACTCCTGGCTCTGTGCTTGGGGATCACTCCTAACAGGGCTCAGAACCACATGTAGTACCAGGAACTGAACCAGTATTAGTACAAGGCAAGTGCCTTAAGCCTCTGGCTCCACCTGCTGAAATATTTAATGAAGCACACCTGAGACATATGTGAGATTATAATGCAATATGAGGTCCATAAAAAAATTAACTCAAAACCCAAAGTTCACTGGCGCTTCCAGGTTAAGTGTTTTAACCCCTGTCCACACCCCCTCCTACAAGAAAATCAAAAGCTGGGGGCATGGAGTAGATAGGAGAGACAGTGAAGCTGTTTACCAGTGACATGGAAAAGCAGAATCAAAGGAAGAAGACTAGAATTGAGCAAAAATGTGGCAATCTGCCATGTTCCCCCAAGGCTCAGAGCTCATAAGACTGAAATGAATTTAAAGGGAAAAAAATGAGGGGACAGCACGGAACTGTAGCTTCAAGGAAAACACAGTGATTGCCCAGCTACCCAGGAAAGGGCAAGTGAGGCTGCCTGAGTAAATTAAAACTAAAGCTGATGTGAAAAACTGATGATGCTATATAAGCTATTTAAGAATACTGGTTAGTTGTAATCTATGGACACCTAGCGAGGTCACTGGCTAAAACCAGTTGCATGTTCTGAGGCTGTTTGTGTCTCCCAAACCTCTGCCAGAATCAGAGAAATCGAGGTGGAATAAAGCAGTCTGCGCCATGGCTGCTCTCTCTCATATGCTCCGAAGGAGACTGCGGCTGGCGAACGTGCCCTGGAACAACAACAGGCCTGACTCTCTGAGCTCCAAGACCGGTGGTGGGAAGGTCCAATGAACAGCTCAGAGGTGGGAGTCCTTAAAACCAAGTTGGTCACTTACCAAGAGGCTCTAAGGAAATTTAAAGCACAGCAGAAATAATTAGCCTTTACCTTGCTAAGTCCTAGCACAGCGGTAGGGCGTTCGCCTTGCACGCAGCCAACATGGTGGACCCGAGTTCGACTCCTCCGCCCCTCTCGTAGAGCCCGGCAAGCTACCGAGAGTATTCGATATGCCAGACACAGTAACAACAAAGTCTCCAATGGAGACGTTACTGGGCCCGCTCGAGCAAATCGATGATCAACGGGAGGGCCTTTACCTTACCTTTACCTTGCTAAGTCCACTTAAAAAAACAAAAAAAAAAATTTAGGGTCAGGGAGAGCTTCGCATGCTTTGCGGACAACCAATGGACTCCCCATGTGTCTCCAGGAGTGAATCCTGGCAATGAGCTGAGTGCAACCCTTGAAGACAGCCAGATATAACCAAAACCAAAAACAAACAAAAAAAGGGGGTGGAGAAAACTTTATCCAAATAATTGCTACCCAAACTTTCAAAGGCTGAGGATACTGCTTAGTCATAGAGATTCCCTGCACGTGTTACAGTCTTGATCTCCTGGGTTTGATCCCTGGAACCATAAAACAAAAATTTAAAAAGACTATTGAATGTTAAAAACCTATTTAAGAGCCTCATCCAACCGATAGCACAGCGGTAGGGCGTTTGCCTTGCACGCAGCCAACATGGCCGACCCTAGTTCGATTCCTCTGCCCCTCTCGGAGAGCCCCGCAAGCTACCGACAGTATCTCGCCTACACGGCAGAGCCTGGCAAGCTCCCCGTGACGTATTCGATATGCCAGACACAGTAACAACAAAGTCTCCAATGGAGACATTACTGGGCCCGCTTGAGCAAATCGATGATCAACAGGAGGGCCTTTACTTTACTTTTTATATATAACTATTCATTTAAAATTTAAGCGAGGGCATAGAGAAAGAGCTAATGGAGAAATTAGAAAGTACTTAGGAAAATGAAAAGCTCAGTCCCCCATACACCAATGGAAGCAACCACAGAGCCAGGAGAAGCCCTAAGCATCACTGGATGTGGCCCCTCGAACAAACAAGAATCAAATCACTTCGTATGTAAAGAACACTGGTGTTGTACAGATGTAATCAGAGCAGTGGGGAGTGGTAGAAATCCGGGAAAAAGCCAACTTTGGCTTGTTTAGAACCAGTCACAAAGGGAAGGTGTGGGGTATGGCATATATTCATAGAATAAAGAGAAAGAACCTTCTGGCAGATAATAGTAGAGGAAAAAAGATTTGTGTGGACAACCCTTAAGTTTTGGGCTTGCATAAACGAGTCATTTAAGTGCTTTGGATCATTTTGCTTGACAGATTTTTGTTAATCTACCTACACATCTGGAGATATTAAAAAAAAAAACTCAGTACATTTATAAATGTGATCTAAAATGCTTAAAGGGATTCAATAATTAAACTAGCAAATGGAGATAATTGTTTAGGAGAATTTAATCCTTTCCATTAGAGTTTATCAAACACTCATCAAAGAACAGGAGAAAATGCCTACTCTTTACTTTTATGCAAAAAGTAACTCACTCCGCTATCCTATTAATAACGCTGAACCTCAAGATGTAAGAACCTCTAGTTTTTTAAGTGCAGTTGTAATAATAGCATTAATGTTAAGCTCAAATTGCCATTAATCTTTCTACAGAGATAAAGCCTCTGGGATATGAAGAAACTGTGGGGAGATGACACAAAGGTCGGGCGCTCAGGCTTTACATGCAGGGGTGCCAGGGTTTGTTCCCAGCACTGAGTCAGGAGCAGCCTGAGTACTGCTGGATGTGCGGATGGGCCCAAATCAGCCTCCATTAAAGTCAAAACCTCAAACTTGGGGCTAGAGCAATAGCACAGCAGGTAGGGCGTTTGCCTTGCACGCGGCCGACCCAGGTTCAATTCTATATGGCAAGCCATATGGTCCCCCGAGCACTGCAGGAGTAATTCCTGAGTGCATGGGCCAGAAGTAACCCCTGTGCATGGCCAGGTGTGACCCAGAAACAAAAAAACAAAGAAACAAACAAAACGCCTCAAACTTGACAATTAAAATATTTAAATAGAGAAAATGTAATCAGTCCAATAAGGGGGGAAGAAAATAAAATATTGTATAAACAGAAATATGTAGATAGGAAGATATATGTGAGTCTTCTCAAGGTGGTATGACCTAAAAAACTCACTATATTCTTCACACAATGATCCCCTAAGAATATTTCCTCTCTACTCAAAGGCAGAACCTTAAATATTTTTTGAATCAATGAATAAAATGTAAACAGTGCTCAAGAAACAAAGAGTTTATTTCTGTTTCTACCTCAGAGTTCTGTGAATCTTTTTCTCTAATAACTATGGTTTTCTCTAATAACTACGTTTTCACTGGTTTATTTCGGGGGGATAGGGAGTGAGAGATGGGTAAGGATCACTCCCAGCAGTGCAGGGTCACTCTTCGCTGAGCTAGGGAGACTATGTGGGTGCCAGGATGGACCCTGGGCTCCCACTCACAGAGCACACACTCACGCCCTTTGAACTATCTCCCTGCACCAACAGCTGTATTTCTGTAGCCACAAAAAACTTTATTGGTGAGTTGTTTTAATAACAAGAAAAATATGCTTACAATATTGAAAAAAAAAAGCCAGAAAAAAAATCACTGTAAGCAGAACAACATAAAATATATTTCAAAGGACTAACGGAAACAGGCAAAGTATTGTAAAAATGGCTGTCTCCTAGAAGTCTAGATGGATAATCCATTATGTCAGAGCCCGTAAATTTTCTGATCTTGGGGTGTGAGGCAGTACTGCGGGTAAGGTGCTTGCTTTGCACACTGCTGACCTGGGTTCAATCCCCAGCATATGGTCCCCTGAGCCCCACCAGGAGTGATCCTTGAGTGTAGAGCCAGGAATATGCCCTACGCACTGCCAGGTGTGGCCAAAACTGAAAACAAACGAGAGAAAAAAAAAACTTTTCTGATTTCTCCAATGTTCCCAGAAACAGATTCTAGTAATGGGAGTAGAACACTGCAATGCCAAAAACATTACTAATCGTACTGTAAATCATTACAATAGTATTGTAAATCTGCACTGTAGCACTGTCCTCCCATTGTTCATCG